TTAAAACATAGTAATAGCTCTAAATCTTTAATTAGTTTCGACTAAATAAAATAAATAAACATTTAAAACCAAAATTAAACTAATATGTTGGTAAGCCCATCATTCTGATCCACATAAACATAATAAACAATTGTTATCAATTCACGCTCTCTCAAACATAATTGGTGACACTGTAATACATGCAAATTAACATGAATTGTTGTAGAAATGAACTGTCGACGAATTGAATTGTCAACAAAATAATTTTCGACGAAATGAACTTTTGACAAAATGAACTTTCGACGAAATGATTGTCGACGAAATGAATCAGACCCCGTTTCAGATTCTGATAAAGACAACAAAGAACAACTACTGCTAATGATTACTATTAAAGAAGCTCGTGAAGTTTTAAAGAAAGTAATTAGGTTGAGAAAAACCAGGAAATATTTAGAAATTGAATTTCTTACTATAGGAATTAATTGATAGATTTAAAGCACAAGCAAAAATTGATAATTATATTATAAAGTACTATCATTTAATTTGAATCTTTACGATCCTATTTTAACATAAAAGGCCCTTTAATTTATTATTATTCTCGTTTAATAAAGTTGAATAATAAGATCATTACGATCAGTGTATAAATTTCAGTGTAATACGGACTTCTACAAATTTAGAATTATCTGCAAAGAATACATTCCGCACACTGATTAATGAAATAGAGTGATGTGTATGATGACGAATACTTAATATAATATGATCAACTTGAAAATTTTAAACAAACCTCGTTTCAACGAATCTGTGGGGATACTCGTTACTATTTATTATGCCAAATTACTTATCGCGCACGTTTCAACGAATTTTATGTGAACCAAAAAAATTCGTTGAATAAACACTATATCATTATTTTACAGCAAGATTACTTTCCTAAACCATTTATAAACTAATTTCGAATGGGTTTTTAATATGTCACACTATTAATATTAGTAATTTTACAAACAATAAATTTGAGATTTTATTTATAACATTATTACAGTTTAAACAAATTCGTTGAAACGCGATAAGTAATTTTGGTATACTTATTTGTTTTTATTTTTTAAATAAACAATTTTCATTTTAATTGCGTTTTGTGGATAAAATAAAAAGTCTAGATATGATAGGTCAATATCCCCATGTAACAATTGGGTAAATTGAGTACTGAATCAGCATACCTGGATAAAATTGGAAGGATATCCTTTTTATCCTTGGATTAAAATAATAAAGACTGTAACCTTAAAATATTTATTATATGAAGAATATTCTTCATATTGTATCGGAAAATTTTCTTTCCTGCATTTGTTGATCAATGGACACTGGATCTGTAAGAACCTTGTTACTTGAGGACATTAGTGCCTGTGGTTCCTATGAAAGTATGTTATTTGGGGGCACTGGTGTCTGTAACTTTTACAAGAGTACTGTTACTGGTGTCTGTGACTTACAAGATTGTATATGATGTGGTGATATCAGCATTCATGGTACACATTATACACTAGCTGGACAAAAGTATTTGATCACGTATTTACACTAATTAGTAAAAACCCTACATAACAACATTACACGAAATTTATAACATTATGTGCCTAGATTTTGATAATTATATATTCGAAATTTCACGTTGCTAGCTCTCATATT